AGGAAACACAGATTTGAATGCTCTAACTGGATGACACACCAGATTATAAAGAGGATTTGATGAGGACCAGAAAAAAACAGTTACAACTAGTAACTAGCCGTAAAGTAAGATTTAAAAGATCCACGCAGGCAAAGCTACACAGGAGAGGTTAGTGTTAAGTGGCATACTTGGAATCCCGTGCATCAACAGCACAACAATGGATTCCTTGTTCCGTGAGGGGTCAGCGGCTTCTGGTCCCTTTTTAGCCTTGTATTATCGTGAGTCTCTCAGATATCAGCTTTGACTTTCACAGCCGATCTTTGGATATTAACCCAGCCACTCTCCCCTCCGTCCTCTCCAGGTTTCTGACAGGACCTACTAATCTCAAAGATCCAGAGGCCAAATTCCGATTTCCTAAAATATTTGTCAGCACAGAGGACGGCTATGAGGAGCTGCATCTGATTGTGTATAAGGTAAGGAAGAGTAAATGTGATCAGGAGGTTTTTTTAATGTATTAAAGTAGAAGGGAAGTTCTTTTTTATAATCTGTGATTTATATTCCACTGCTCTATCAAACAATATGGATTTTTTTTAAGGATTAGACGGCTACATTTTTAAAATGATGAAGTACGTCCCACATTAATGCCATTTCTAACCTGTGTGACCTTGATTCCAGGCGATGAGCGCTGCAGCTTGTTTCATGATCAGTGGTAAGTGTACACTGTCACCCACCTGCTGTTCTGACAGGAAATGATGCAGTTAACATTCACTTCCTCTCTCCTGGTTGATGTCTAAAAACAAAGTCCTTGTATTTTTGGTGTTTTTTTTACTATGTAGGCCATTTTACTGCTCATTTAAAGCTAAAATATGATTATTTTCTTTCAGCTCATGTCCCATAATGCCTGACTTTCTTCTCTCCTCCCTCTCTCTCCAGCCTCTGTGGAGCTGACGAGGGACTTCTGCGAACAGCTGGACGGCTTGGTGGGCCCTCAGCTTACTCTGCTGGCATCTGACATATGTGAACAGTTCACAGTCAACCGCAGGATATCGGGGTCAGTTAAGAATCCACCACTCTCCTAATTAACAATTTACCAGCGTCTGAAAAGGCCTTTTGTCTTTGAGGATACGGTCCGTCTTTTAACAGTTCTTGATTTAAATTGGTTTACGTCATTTACATCATTGACGACACAAGACAAGCTTTTAAAGCTTGAATTGATTACAGGAGCATCAATCAATTAATCATTTTAGCGCTACGTCATATATACAGGCGAAAACTGCTTCCAGAATGTATCGGTATCATCTTGATCATTGAAAACATTTATCGCCGTCATCAAAAGTGTAGTGTTGCAATTTATTACATTAGCCATGTTGTTTGTCGTCGGTCTACAGTCAACCTTTTGCATTGAGTCTGCCTAGCTGGCCGCTTAGAGGAGACTCTGATATCACTTGATATTGTCGGGGCAGTACTCAGAGGTAATTCAAGCAGCAGAGCTTTAAAGACCGGGATCCTGGCCCACTCTCCTTTAACCCCAGCAGTTAGATTCGTCCTTGTCTGTAATCCAAGACCGGGCTCCCTGACCCGGGCAATTTGATGGGCTCCATTTTTAAATCACCTTAGTGAAAAATCCACTGAATAAATAATGCCGTCCTAAATTCCTCCGCCGTCATTGAGGTCTGTGTCCCGATTTGGCCCGGTGTAACTGTAAATAATCAGAGGCATCATGTATAAGAATCTGTTGTACGTCCTGTTTGAATAATTACCAACACTTCTCCAGCGATGCAATCACAGTACCGTTTGTGTGGTAATAACCGTGTCCTCAGCTCAATTTGACGTGGGTGGAGTAGGCTTAACTTAAAAGCACAACTTGCCTTTTATTGGATGTTGTCATCCAAAGTGGTTTGGCTTATTGTATCATTGGGTCAAATAACTTTTAAAGGATTGTGTGGGCCCAGAAGTGGCCGAAGGCGCTTATTTTTTTTAACATTTTGTGTCCATTCAGGCCAGAGAAGGAGCCCCAGTTTAAATTCATCTACTTCAACCACATGAACCTGGCGGAGAAGAGCACCATCCACATGAGGAAGACAGCCAGCGTTTGCCTCACGTCTGTTCACCCAGACCTCATGAAGATCCTGGGAGACATCAACTGTGACTTCGCCAGGTACAGCAGAGAACATTGGCTTTGTTAAACTGTTTCATCTTGAGCGAATGCGTCCAGACATTTGTTTAAAAATGTTACAGTGACTGTCCACAAATCACCATCATCCTCATCATCCTCCAAGCAGAAACCCAATAGTAGGACTGAAACTCTCTTCAGCTCTGAACGTCACCTGTGCAGAGTTTTTCAGATTTCACAAACTCGGGAAAGAAAAAAAAACACTACAAACTCTCTCCAGGGTATATCAGCAACATCTATGTCATTTTACATGTGACGCTCCTGGTGTCTTCTTCAACTCACTCCGTTTTGAAGCGGTCATGAGACTGTAGTCATGTGAGAATTCTGAGGGACAGTGGCATCGACAATCACAGCATTCATACCAGTATCATACCATACCAGTAATCACTTCCTCTTTTAGTGCAGATGTTGTGTAGCTGCTGCTTGTCACCACACGCAAAACATGATCACAGTGCTATTTGTGTCATTAAATATCGAAATGTAAGTCATTTTGTGTGTTTCCAATAAGAAATTACACTTTCTAGTATTTTAACTTAGAACATGGGTGTCATTTCTGACGCACACCATAAGAAATGTTAAATTATATGACTTGGTTTTAATGGAATGTTGTGGTCTGTGTTTTTGCAGTTGCCCTCAAATACAAAGAACCTGCCATAACTGTGGTAGTTGCGTTTTATTTGATGGTGCTTTGTTATTTCTTTATCTTGCTCCCAGGGTTGACGAGGACGAAGAAATCATCGTAAAGGCAATGACAGACTACTGGGTAGTCGGCAAGAAGTCGGACCAGAGAGAACTGTACGTGATCCTGAATCAGAAGAACGCCAACCTGATCGAAGTAAACGGTATGTCTCCACCGCCTGGCGATGAGTAAATCTGTGTCATTACCGTCCACCACTATAGACAACCTGCCTTGATGCTTAATCTCTTCTTCACCCTTCACGCCCTTTGTCTTTTCTCCTCCACAGAGGAGGTTAAGAGGCTTTGTGCGACGCAGTTCAACAACATCTTCTTTTTGGACTGATGGAGCCGTCAGACGGAGACCGTTTTACCACACTAAACACTGTCAGCGTTACAGGGTATCATGACAGCATCAGCGTAATGCAATAATTGCATTGTAAAATTAAAAAAAAATTTCAAAGCTTTGTAACCAGGTTTGTTTTTAATTTAACCTATAAAATTGTAATTTTCTCATGTAATTAAATGTAAATCCAGATTTTTACTGTACATTTACTTTATTTTCTTTGTACATACTTGTAGGGTTTTGTTGGCTGTTAATTTGGATATCTTTCAAAACAAAATGTTTTTTTGTTTTTTTGAATGAACACATCATGACAATGTTTAAAATTAATTTATAAACCAACATGCACAGAACAGTTTACTCCAGGTTCCTTTGATGATCAGTCATAGTTTTAAAATAAGATGTCATCATGTCAAAAGTATTGTGGTTTGCAAACAACTGTGCTATCTTTAAATAAATTAAGGAGTAATTTTACTATGTGTAAGATAGTTGTTTTTTGGCTGAAGACGCTCAAAAAGTAAAACCGTTAGGCAGCCTTTTAAACAGCAACATCAGAAATCATTTATTGAACAGTTGGACAGCTTCCATTTACTTACACAACATTTGTAAGGCTGCTTTTATTGTGGGATTCTTTTGAAGTGCTTTTATATCAATAATTTCTGCATCTAAAACAGGCAAAGAATCAGAACCGTTTATTGCCAATGTATGTAACATACAAGGAATTTGTCATGGCAGGTGGTGCATAACATTAGACAATCAACAACAATCAACAGTGCAAGGGATAGAAACATATTAAAATGTACAATAGAATTGAAAAGAATATAAAATAAAGTGCACAACAAACATAACAGAACTGTAAACAAGTGTAATGTAAAAGTGACAAGTATATTTAAATATGAAGGGATGTGCAGGGGAGTAGTAGGGAGCTAAGGAAATTGTCCTGGGGATGACAGTCAGTGGGGGACCCGGGCTCTGTTAATGAGCCCGACTGCGGACGGGAAGAAGCTGTTCGTGTGGCGGGAGGTCTTGGTCCTGATGGACCTCAGCCTCCTACCAGATGGAAGGGGCACAAACAGTTTTTGTCCAGGGTGAGAGGGGTCGGCTACAATCCTTCTTGCTCGCTTCAGGGTTCGTGAAGCGAACAAGTCTTGGAGGGACGGCAGGTTGCAGCCAATCACCCTCTCGGCAGAGCGAATGATGCGCTGCAGCCTGCCCTTGTCCTTGGCGGTGGCTGCAGCGTACCAGACCGTGATGGAGGAGCAGAGGATGGACTCAATGATGGCTCTGTAGAATTGCAGGTTGAATTTCTTCAGCTGCCTCAGGAAGTACATCCTCTGCTGAGCCTTTTTAGTGATGGAGCTGATGTTCAGCTCCCACTTGAGGTCCTGGGTTATGATGGAGCATAACCCAGACTGCACCAGGTCACCAGAAGGTCAGTCTCCCACCTGTAGGCGGACTCATCCCCACCAGAGATGAGTTCAATGAGGGTGGTGTCATCCGCAAACATAAGATCTAAGATCTAACCAAAGAACTAACTTGAAGATTTACCTAAAATGTTTAAAACTTGGCATTGGAACATATTAACTGTTTCCGGGCCCCGATTGAATACTTTGTGGGAGCCCAGTATTCTGAGATACAGACAGAATGAAACTCTTTAATTGTCTCTTCACACTCCAGACCAATGGATGTCATCAACTCCTAAAATGGTTACCACAAAATAAAATGTATCTCAAGAAGAAGAAGAAAAATAACCAATCAGTGATCACCAACCCAGTCGATTTGCAGCCAATCAGCGTCACCGTTGCTGAAATTCAAAAAGTCCCCCGCCATGATTGTTGTGTATTTCAGGCTGGACCAGGACTCGTTACTCTTTTTACTGGACGGCCAGTAGAGGAAGTTCGTTTTTATAAGTGTTTTTTTCGGGGGGAGAGAACAAGGTAAGATATATGTATAATTATATATTATCTATGAAGACAGTTAAGCTTGCTTTGTCGCTGCTTAACAAGGTAACGTTAGCTTAGTTCGACGCTTGCTCTGGCTTCATAAAGAGTCGGTTCGGTGGTGAGCTTGACGGGAACGTTAGTTGAGTCCCTTTAGCTAACTTTGTTAGGTAACGTGTTAACGTTACGCTTCGCACTAATTCAACGTATTGCGGTGTTCACTGACATTGTCGTTAACGACGGCTAACTTTAATCACGCGGGCTTTGAGAAGTATTAATCTCACGTCTGGTTTTGAACCACTGCTTTAAGCTAACGCTAGGTAGCTAACGTCATGTTGTTGTGTAACGTTACATTGTCAGGTAAAGGGTTTTTTCATAAACACAAAAGGTTACAACGCATTTTCTATCTTCGTGTAATGGCGTTTACTTTTGGTTGATTTAACGTCAGTGGCTTTTTTAAAAACTTTAATTCAGTAACGTTATCCTAACGTAAGGTAAACTGATGTACAACGTGGGTTAAGGACGTACCAGTGTCACGTTGTAGTTGAGGTATTTAGCTTTACGTTAATGATGCTATTCTTGAGAGGGTTGGCTTGATTCAGGTAAATCCTGATGGGCATGACTTGCCATCATCTTTGTGTGTTAACTTAAATTGTAACTCAATTGAGATAATGTATGATAATAGATACTGACTTTAACCCTTACTTTTGTTTTGTTTTTTTATGGTCTAATTTCTATGCAGTTGAGTTGTTATAGCTGACCACAGTTCAAAACAGACATTCTCTGATTCCTCTTATTTTGTTAAATTTTCAGTTCATAATGTTTTGCCAGATGGCATAACTACTAGCACATCAAATATGATTTACCTCTAATTACTATGCCAATAATGCACCATCTTCTGCCCCTCTCCTCTTTACTCCAGATACCTGAGTGAAAATGGATTCTCAGTTTGCTCACCTGCGCCAGCGGGACACCAGTGTGTCGATGCTGAGGGTGAAAATGTCCCGCAGGAGGTCTCGGTCCCAGAAGGAAAACCGAGAACGGGTCGTAAACACCCGCAGGCAGCTGGCCGAGCTCCCAGAGCTGGAAATGTCTTCCCTGGATGCCTCAATTGCTACGGCCAGCATGTCAACCATTCAGGAGAAGACATTGAACAATGCCAAATCTGCTCAAAGTACGTCTGCACTTTACATCGAAACTACAACTCAAACCTAATAACATGTTGACAATAAGGCACCCACAGCAATAACCTTCCATTTTCTTCACAGACGTGGCTGTAGAAGAGAGGTTGAAACAGCTTGGGCGCTGGAAAGAGCGCAAGGCTCTGGAGAAAGAGAAGGAAAAGAGGGAAAGGGAGCGTAAAGGGGTGTTCAAGACCGGCATGTATCATCCGAAAGACACCCTTAACATTCCCTCACTGCCTGGAGTCCCAGCTGCCTCAACCAGAGCAAAGGAGGTGAGGGAGGACTCCTCAATAGACTAGTTTACACCATTTACTGTAAATATCTGCCCCACTACTCTTATTAGATACAATGACATGAACTATAACAGAGGCATGGCATTTATAATCATGAATGACTCCAAATGGTCAACATGTAATCTTTTGCTTGTTTTTCAGACCAAAGCAAACACGGCGTCATCCCAGAGTTCCAGAGTCACTCGTTCTATGAAGCAGCAGCAGCAAGTTGAGAGGGTAATGCTGAGAAAGATACTGTTCTCATTATGTTCTTATATTAACTTCCATAAAAATAAAATCTAATATGCACTTGTTGCTTTTCTTTTGACAAAATGTCTACAGCCTCTGAAGATGCAGGTTCCAAATGCTGCGGGGAAAAAAGGTAAATAAATCTAATGTCCCTTTTTATTTTAAACGGAGCACACCGTCTTCTGTGACCTGGTGTATTTTAGATCTGACCTGTTACCCCTCCTACAGCTCAACCTGCTGTGGACCGATCCACCAGGAGCCGGGTCGCTGCGCCTGCTATTTCCAAGATTAAAGTTTCTGCAGGTGAGTAATAAGAATTAAAAAAAATCCCCACACAGCTGAGACCAGCTATACTGTTGGTTTGACCCTATCGTGTTCCCTTATTTGCATCTCAATCCGTGTCTCTGTGTCATGCCATCCTACTTAAGTGGAGCCTGTCGTCCGAGCTTTGAGGACCAGAGTGGCCAACAGGCCTCCCGTTACAGCGGCTCCTGTGGTGAAAGACAACCCGATGGGTAAGTCTGCAGATACGCGCTGTGCCAGGGCCGCAGTTTAAACAGTTTTTGCTATCGTTTGACAAAACCACTCTTAATATTCCTGAAATTCCTCTCCTTACCCTCAGATGTAAGAAACACAAGAAGCAGAGCGTTCGTCAACCACGTGGCCCCCTTTTCATACAGAGAAAACAACTGTAACGGTAAATCATTAAATGTTGATAAAGAGCCATCCAATTTAAGATGCTGTTGATCAGTTTTACTTTTCCCATGTGACTAATTGCTTTTAACATCTTCCACCATTTTATGTGCGTCTCTCCTTTTTGAATACGCAGCAGCTTCCAACAGCACTGATGAGCCTGTCGTGGCCATGGTGAGCATTTCTTTGAGTTTTACACACGATGTGTTAAAGCTGCGACTACATTTTTACCAGTAAAACGTAACTTAGTTTGCTGTTTTTGTGTTGTGTAGAAGACTGAGATGCTGGAGCCAGAGGAAACACCTTGTCCCCCCAGCCCGGCACCCTGCTCTGAAGAGACAAACATGGCGGTGGACCAAACTCCGACCGACTCTGTCCCTGTTGTGGATCCCGTTGAAGCGTCGTCCTCTTTATCTTCTTTTGCTCCACAAGGTTTTATATTCCAAGCTCCCACTGGCTTGTCCTCCTTCAAGTTCGAGCCTCTCACCCCTCGCTCAGCAGACGCCTTCCTCACACCGAGGTCTGTCTGTTTTCAGTTTGTAGTTTTTATTCAGATATTTAAAACACCGTAAATATGAAAGGACAAGGTACCGGAGATTTTTGTGTGTGCCCTCCATCATTTCTATGGTTTAAAACGTGGAGTTGTTTCCTATCTCAATGCCATGCTGTTGCTCTTCCTACCCAGCCCCAGCTTCAGTATTCCAGAGGTCCCCGCTTTCAACATTGAGCCTCAGGCTGAGCCAAGTGAACCCTCTCCCCCAAAATCCCCTCGCCGCTCTCCTCCCCACACAGCTCCCACAATGGCCCCTCCCACTCCAGGCAGCCCCCTGGAATCCAAGCACGACGTACAATACTTCAGGTGACATCCCTTTTTTTTTTTTTTTTTAAGTATTCCTAGTCATCTATTGTTCAGATTTTCCAATTACTTTTCACAATCATCATTTTTACAATAGTCTCTTTTTTGTGTGTTCTTCAGATCTGTAATTGCCAATGAGACAGATGGACTGATGACTCTGTGTGTCCAATGGGAGTCTAAAGTGGATGATGAGTCCATCCCAGAAGAGAGTGAGTGTGTCATGCTGACTGTTTTGTGGTGTCCCTAATTGGAAGAAATGACCTTATTCCCTAACTGAACAGTTGTAATTCACTGTCTTTTCACTCATGTCTGTTCAGTGAGAGACCAGATGCGTACAGCTGTGGGCCAAGCGAGGCTGTTGATGAAGGAGCGCTTTAAACAGTTCGGCGGTCTGGTGGACGACTGCGAGCTGGGCCGGGGGGAGAAGATCACCACCTGCACTGACCTGCGGGGATTCTGGGACATGGTGTATTACCAGGTGAGTGTCCTCAAGAGAGGGACAACACACTGTTTCAGACGCATAAGGAGAAAGATTATATTTGCTTTGTGCCATTTTTCAGGTCGAGGATGTCCACAAGAAGTTTGAAGCTCTTAAAGAAGCAGAGAGCCGAGGCTGGGTGGAGGAGCACAAGCCACCGCCACGACAGAAGAAAGTGGTGAAGGTGACAACTGTTTCTGAATATGTTTTTGTTTTCAAATAGGTTTGTTTGCTCTGTTTAGGAGCAAAAAGTGTCATGACATTGATGTAAAGGCTTGATGCCCGTACTGTGCTTTTGACAGAAACCACCGGCTGCACCTGCCAAGCCAACGGGAACTAAAGCGGCGGCCAAGTCTCGCCTGGCTGCTGTGAAAGCGGCCATGAAAGCCAAACAGCAGGCAGAGAAGGCAGCGAAAGATGCTGGCAGTAATGACAACCCCAGCATGAACTCTGAGGAACCGCAGTCCCAAGCCGAGCCCCAACCGACGGTGGTCTTTGACGGAGGCTTCTTCCAGGTGGAGAGCCCAGCCAGACCATCGGGTGAGAGAAAAATAGCTAAACAGTCTTGCTTTTCATGTCATTCGTCATAGTTTGCTTGTGTACTTGTCCCTGCTGGACTAACGATCATGTCGTCATATCGTCGTGTCTGTAGGTTCGGTGAGGAGACCCAGCTGTCTGATTGCTGCCGTGCTGCCTCAGGCCTCTCCGTGCTCCAACTACCTCACCCCTAGAAGAGTCACTCGGCGATCCCTTGCACTGGCACAGACCCCCCTTCACACCATCACCTCTCCCGCTCAGCCCGTCCACACTCTTGCCCTCGACCAAACCCCAGCACAAGCACCGAAGTCTCGACGTGGCACTCCGCAGTCATCCCAGAACAGAAAGGACACTGTAAACGTCTCCCTTTGTTTCTCACAAGTGCTTTCAGACGACACCCAGCCTGAGGGAAGTCCTGCGCACCAAGAAATGGTCGCCACGCAGGCAAACGCTGCTTCTGAATTGAGCAAGCCCGCAACCGTGCATTCAATTCCATTCATTAATGTCGTCGAGGAGCAAGGCGAACCAGCTGAAGCCGTCGACCTCCCTCGCTCTCCATGCAAAATAACTCCAACTGTGCCCCAGTCCCCTGAGCCCTCATCATCCCTGAGTTTCACGTTGTCACCCTGTGTGACTCCCAGCCAGCCTCCCATCTCCTCCCCTCCTGCTGTGCAGGGTCTTCTGGAGGCCCACGGGTCTGTGTGTCTTACACCAGACATCTCTGTTGTTCAGGTAAACACATCTTCAGGCTTCACTAAATGTATTTATTAAGATGAATATCGGCCTCATAAGATGCCCTTTGTTGAAATATATGATCCAAACTTCTTTTTTTTTTTTTCTTTTTTTTTTGCTATGCAATAAACAAGTTATTTTCTCTTTATTTCAGGAAATTCCTGGGTTGGACTTTGAGCGTTACCTCCAGCCGTCACAGAGATGCAGCCTGTCACCGTGGGAGGTTTTGTCCCCCGTGGTGGTGGATGTAGAGATGGAGAGTCCTAGCGCTCAGACAGAGGACCTGCTTACTCTGCAAGAACCAGGTATGATTGATGCCTATGGGTCCTGTGCATGCACACACACAGTGTACACCTGTGTTTTATACCATAACAACACTAATTTATACTAAAACTGCAGCAGACAGGATTTTTTTTTTTTTTTTTTTGTTGAAATGTGTTTGAAGATATCAAAACTAGGATTAAATTGAGTAGTTGTTCTCTGAGTGCCACTGATGTTTTTCTTTAACTGTCAATCCTCAAATATCAGACCTTCATGCTGCAACTTTCAGAGAAACTGTTGTGATTGCCTGGTTACAAGGCAATACCTCACTGGGCTTTATTCTGGCTTGTTTTAAATTGCACTACTTCCTTCACTCACTGTCATGCTCACTTCTCACTGTCACCACAGCACATCCAGCGGTGCGTTCAGCTTTGAATCTTCAGTCACCACAGGTTAAAGTTTTTCTTTTTTTCTTTTCTTTTTTTTTTAAATCCACATTGGACTTAATTATCACTTCTATATCTTTATTTCAGCCTCATCATTGCTGACTAGTCTTACTGTATTGTTCTTTGTGCGTTTCTCAGTCCCAGACAGCCGAGTCTGCCATGCTCCTCTACACCCCGGAGCTGAAGGACCGGATACGCCAGTCTGTCTGGCCAAGTGACCTCATGGTCTTCACACCTCCGCTCTGATATGTAGCCTAGAGATTGTCTTGTGCTTTTAGTTTTTGCATATATTAACTACTTTTTTTTACTCTGATTGGAAAAGAAAAATCTTTGAGTGATTCTGACTTTTATATGGAAAATAGTATTGTTATACAATTAAAGTTATATTTACAACAAAGTATTGAACAATAGTCTTCATTTACATCCAAGCACAAATCGGCAGTACATTCAATGTTTTTATCAGTCACTGTATTTAAAGCCATTGGTTTGTTTTTGGACTCTGTGGATAGACCGGGTACAGAAAAGCCTGCTGCATCGGGTTTGTCTGCTGCATCTCGTGTCATTCATCAGCCTCCTGATGCCCTCCCTCTACCTGTAACACAGTACAACACTGAGCTTTACACATGTCTTTGGCACAATAACATGAGTAAAGGAGCAGTAGAGTGATTTTTGTTGGAGACGGTCCACATCCAAGAGGCAGAGATGATACTGGAATGGAAGCTCCGGGGAGGAAAGTGATCGGATGCCATCTAGTGGCTGCATTAAAGCAACTCATGAAACTGATCGGGTCAAACACACCGGACTATTTCTACACACACAAATCTACAATACATACAGTAAAGAAATCTAATAAAATAAAAGTTGGTTCAATAAGATTGTAATTTTGATTGTAGAATGCTGCTGTTGAACCTGGTTAAATCTTGAGAAATTGTACAATGATTACAACATATTCTCTGGGAGTTGCTAGCAATGTGCTACCTGTCTCTCTGCCAGAGCAGTAAGTCTCTGGGCCTCTTGACGGCGGTCCTCCTCCATGTTTCTGGACACCAACTGGTTATGTTCCAAAGCCGGGAAGAAGAAGTGGTTGAAGAATTGATGGATCGTCTGGTTCCAGAGCTCCACTTTAGTTCCTCTGGTTAGCATGCCTTTTTCGTCACGTCTTTGCTCTAGAGGAAACATGACGCATGATGTATTCTACATAGTCACTGCAATGAATTTAATGTCCTGTCACTTTCTGAACATAGCATGTAGAAATGTATACTTCAACATTATTTAGAATAGTGAGAAAATTAATAAAACAAACCTGCAGACTGAGGTTTCTCAGTGACTTCAGTCTTGACATCCTGTTGACTCAGCACGTCCTGAGCAGTGGATAAATCTGCTGTATCACTTGACTTCCCTGTCTATAATAAGACGCAAATACAATTATGTTTTTTAACACTAAAGCAAAGTCTTATAGCCCAGCTCCCAGCATATTTCATTAATATCAACAGAAGACCAAATTACTGATATCACTACTGGATATTTAGATTTATCTTTTCACATAATGGTGGATGTGATTTTTGATACAGATACTCGTAACTCATGTCAAATCATTGCATAGGTGAGGCCCTAAGTGTGAGTTTATTTTTTTCCACATGATAGATTGCCCGTTGCAACCAACCTCCACTGACGTGGAACTGGAGATTTCAGCAGTGATGGGGGAATTCACTGGAGCGGCCACCTGGATAGAATGAAACTGTATAAAGTCATTCTTTTGTTTGTTTCCTCTCGTGCAGGATTCCCAGCTTTACTGGGAATTCCAACAACTAAATCCCAGTAATACCGGAACAAGTACAGTCTTCACATCCAGTAAGTAAGGGGAGCAGAGGTCAAGAGAGGCTTGAAAAAGGATCTGACCGACTGGGAAGGGCTGTTTGTAATCTGTTTGTAAATCACCTCAGGTACATCCCTCATGGCCTCAGCGTCGGGGCTGGATGCTGACTGGCCCTCCTCCAGGCCTTCAGAAACCCGCTGACACTTCACCTCAGCAGAGCCCAGAAGTACCTCGAAAAACTCCAGGAATGTAATCTGAAGCGGGACAACAACAAACGTGATACAGAGAGGGATAGGAAGACACACAACAAAGGGTAAGTAGATGAATGTCAACTTCAGGCCGACCTCCAGATCCAGACAGGCGGACAGGTTGCCGGGGTCACGGCTTTCTGCAGTGATGACCTGCAGTAATCTCGCTGTGGTCAGGTTAGTGTCCAGCAGATGGAGATCCTGGCAGAGGTTACAATAGACTAATCACCACTGTGTCTAAATGAATGTACCGAATGCTGGTTTTATAATGTAGATTTAATTATTTAATCTAGTAACTCAAAATCAAACAGCATAAACTGCATCCATTTCTTAAGTTAAGAAATATTATTTTTTAAGAAGAAGCTAATTTCATGGTAATCTTCATGTTACAGTCTGTGGCACCTTGAACATCCACAGCAGCTGGTGGTAGGTCATGGTCTGGTCATCTCCTGGGGTTACATTGACTTTGCAGTAAGCCTGGTAAACTTCCCAGCACTTCTTTGAGTAGCTCATAGCCACCACGGCACAGTCTGGCTGCCTGAACAGGAAGCCTGGAACACAGCTGCAGTTAATGGACTATTACTGCATAATATAGCGCTAAAACTATACCTAAAAACTGATAATGACGGACAGAAACATTTTTTTCCTCACTCGACTTATGCCGCAATAAATCAGTTTGCTCTGTCAATTAATACGTGAATGCACATGAGCCTTTAATATTATACTGTTAGCACCTTTTACGTTCTTAGAATTAGGAAGGATGTTGTCCGTCATCAGTTTAGAAAAGCAGGCTGCCAGAAGGTTGTTTTGTGACCTGTGAAAAAAGAAGATGTTTCTCTGCTCATACTTAGTTACCAAAGGATAAAAAGTTAATATTTAAAATTGTGTCCTTGTGTTATTTCTTGCTGGGGTAGTTATTATATGTCCCCATGTTGCCTTTTGAGTGAAAAGCTAATTTACAGTTTGAGCAACAGCTGTACTCTTAAGCTAAATGCTAATGTCAGCATGTCAACATGCTCACAATGACCAAATACCATGGTCACCATCTTAGTTTAGCATGTTAGAACATTTGTTAATTAGCACAAAACACAAAGTACAGGTGAGTCTGATGGGAATGTCATTAGTTTTGCAGGTATTTAGTCCTGAACCAAAGTACTGGACTAATTAATTCTGTTAGAAGTCATTCCTTACACCACGTCCTTATGGTAGATGTGGTAGGCCACAATCACTAGACAGCTGAGGAGCCTATGCAGAAGAATGGAAGTGAAAGGAGAGTGGACTTCTGCTGGCGTAGCATCCTCTGAGACACAAAGTAAATACATTAAGCACTCAAATACTGTAACCATGAAGCTATCAATGTCCTGCCATGTATATGTAAGGTGGATTAAGTATGTGGGAGAGATTGTGAGTGCCTCTCACCTCTGATGAAATGGTCCATCTGCATCAGAGTGATGCCGTGATGGTGGATGTTACAGTCTTTGAGCAGGCGCCAGAACTGCAGGCTGGACAGCAGGAAGGTGTTATCTGGGGAGTGGGCATGGCCAAGTCTGCTGTAGAAACTATAGACAGACCTCAGCGCTGCCACGTGCCTCAGCACCACAAACTCCACCTGTTTATCCGTGAGCCAGAGTATCAGGGCAGGAAGTGGGGAAAAGACAAAAATGTTGACGCTGTTGCAGTGTGAAGCGGGGACCGGACCTGTTTGAGCTCACTGCCGCGCTTTCTCTCTGGGATTTTCTCCAGAAGACGTTCAATGTTCAGAGGCATGTCTGTCCTTAAGATGGACGAACCTGTAACCAGACGCAACACTGTTTATTATCACCTCGATGGCAGGCTGAACCCTTTGAATGCACTGTAGGCGACTTACCAGGCAGAGCAGTGGGAGCGTTGTTACCGTTCAGGATGTGTGCCATCATCTGGTCGTCCACAAACTCCCCTTCAACAACATGCCCATCCTCAAAAGTGAATTTTGCCTGTGAAGCCATATAGTACAGTAACTTTTACACATTCTTGTAACTATATACATGATGCCATCATCTTCTGCTCTTTTTCACCCTGAATTTAACTGAATTTAGGGACAAATGTGTATTGACTGTGAGAGGCGATTCTGTATTATTGATCAACCTTGCCATGTTTTTCATCCCTTCTCCATTCTTCTTCATAGATCGCACCACTAGCGTAGTATAAGGTTCCCGGCCCGTGCCTCTGACCCTGAACGAAATCCCCTGTGTACCGATTGCTCTGGGAATACTGAGATCCATCCGCTCGCCTCATGACCCACACATGTGTGCCTCGTCCATGCTGCCAGAGAAGAGGGCAAAAAAACATAAACAGGTTTGCGTTTTTAAGCAGCTATTGTCCTTGAATTTGTGCAATATGGATACGTTGGTGTCAGTGGCGTGCGCTCATACTTGGACTCCATTCTGCCACATCCCAACATACTGCTGTCCCAGTTTCAGCCACCTCATCGTGCCCTCTCCATGTCTCAGGTTGTTCTTCCACTCACCGGAGTAAATGTTTCCAGAGGGGTAGCTGTTGAGACACCGGTGTCACCTTTGGGCAGTTCAAATACCACTCAGGCTACAGAATAGATTATGTACTCCATACGTACCGTCTTACTCCCCATCCCTCTCTGGTGTTCCTCACCCAATCTCCTTTGTACCAAGAGGTCCTATCCTGGTTATAATACACTGCACCCTAACACAAAGAGAACCAATTACACACAAAATGTATAGGGACTACACCATATATGAATTGGTGGATCATACCTTGCCGTGCCTCTTGGCCTGATCCCACTGCCCTGTGTAGGACACACCATGCCATGTGTAAGTTCCAGTCCCATGTCGTATACCGTTGTACACTTCCCCTTTATAGGAGCTGCCATCTGGCCAGGTGTAGGTGCCCTTGCCCATGGGCATGTTGCACACAAATTCTCCCTGATGGATTAGATATTAAAAAACCCTGTCAATATTTGATTTTGTATGTATACAGGACGCATGTTTAGGATGTTTTGTTAACATGGGCTGTTGTTAAGCACTTTGCTTTAGAAACACCCAATAAGATTTAAGTTCATTGCAGCTATCATAATGTATACCTCATATTTCAATCCGTCTGCTCCTGTGAAGACACCACGTCCGTCCATAAGTCCCTTGGAAAACATCCCCTTCACAAGAACAAAGAAGTGACTAGTTTTATTTACCCTTATGGAAATAAGACACACAGTCATGGTGTATTTTCAGAATATATTTGAAAGTGCATTTTAAGGCATGTAAAATTGACAACATGCATGCGTTTGAAGAAATGTTAGAAATGTATTTGCAACGGTTTAAAATATCTCAAATTTATTTTAATAACTTGTTAGGTTCATACACATTTTAAATGTATGTAAATGGAAATTAACTTACTAAATGCTCAGCACTCGGCTTAAATATGCATTTAATGTATTGTTGAATATATTGTCTTAGTACCTCGTAACTATGACCTCCTTCAAAACTAGCCACCCCTTCTCCATGAAGCTGGTCTTCACAGGTCTTCCCTTCATATCTGTCAATGAGACACCATGCAGGTTGTATGTAGCTAAACGTGACGCTTCAGGTCACATGACACTCATCATTGACGTTATGAGGGATGATTTACCTCTGTACGATTAAATTTAAAAATGTAGGGTATTCATGAATGTCGTCATTGTCGGGCTGCTCATCCTGCAGGTCTGTTTGTTTCTGTCCCACGTCCCACAAACAGCTCGCTAACTTCCCTTTCTCTCTTTCCTCCGCTGTATGAGGCAGCTCTGCGTTTCCGCGCGTTTTCTCGTTTTCCTGCTTATTGGTTTTTATTGTAGTCTTCTTTTCTTCTTTCCCAGTTTCCATTTTTGCTCCGTCTGTTTCTCTCTTGTGCCTCTCCATGGTAACGGCAAAGCACCCTCACAACTACGGCAACCTCTATCGGTCAAAAAGGGTAATACCGTGACACCCGCATCTATTACTAACAGAGTACCACTCATTTAACAATATAGATAACAGAGTGACATATCAGGTTTATTTACCCTATTCATTGGGTGTTAAAATATAAAAAAAAAATATAAAATTTTATGATGCAAAAATAATAATCGAGCATAACAGATATTAAAAACATACCAAACAGTCAATAACAAGCATTTCAACCACACACAAATACAGTATCTATGATTTGGACCCTTCTGTTAATGCAACACTCCAGTTATATTAAGCACATGTAAAGTGAGATTCTCCCAACGTGGTCAGTCTTGTGAGATGAGGTCCAGGTTGGCGAGGTGTCTCATGGTGGGCCTGCCGTGAGGACAGTTCCATGGATGGTCAATCTCCCCCATGTGGACCAGGAGCTTCTTCATCTCACCAACACTCAGAGCAGTGCCAATCATCACCTGGAGATGGATGTCAACAAAACAATAGATAATGTGTCCGGAAAATAGTAACGCTATGAAACTACATATCACAAATACACCTGACACTACTTCCAATACTTGAAGTTTTAAATATGTGGGTTTTATATATATTTGATCTTCCATGCAGCCATTTCTTTCCAGTGCAGTGCTACACTGTTCAAAAGTTTCTTGAGATATGCACATGTCTACTTTTTTCTTTCAAATTAACAATATCATTGCAATGGCAATTTAATTAACAGCACGCACTAAATTCATAAGTCTCTGTTACATTACAACACCATAACTCCAATACTTGTCTAAAGTGTCTTGTTTATCATCAGTATGAACTCACAGATTTTCGACAAGATCGGGAGGCAAACATCTGCCTGACGCGAGACGGTCGACACATGACCCCTGGGCTGTCACTCAACATGAAGATCAGCTCTTCGATGTCGGCTGGGCCAAATGTCCAGTTTTTACTGGTGGGCAGAGATACCAGCTTAACCCTCTCCATCACCTGAGCTGCAGTCACAAAAGAAAAAACAAAACAAAGTGGGAACGAATGGTTTTGAACTTGAGATAAAATCACGATTAATCACTCGTATTTATAACAGTTAAATGTTCATACCGTCCTCGTCGACAAGAAATTCAAAGCCATTCTTTCTGAAAATCTCAATGTTCTCCATGAGGACGTTTTCACTGACAGCGGTGAGGTGAAGCTTCTGAGGGCTGCAAAACAACAACAGATCAGTAAAGTGGTCATTAATCAACACAAAGCAAACTCCGTCAACTGAGTCAGATTCTCACACGATGAGTTTCTGTCCTTGGAGCACGGTGTGCTGCTGCAGCATCTCAAAGTTGTATTTCTCATCTGTGGCATGTTGGTCAATCATGAAGATGTCAGAGTTGAGTTTGGTGATAATGAAGCCCAGGTTGAACTGGCCGATGATCTCCATCTCTTTGAACATGTCTTTACTGTGGGGATAGAAGACATTTTATTTTTTACTGCCATGGAAAGAACACTTTAATATTGGCAAATTCAGCAGTAGTTATTGATGGGAGTAAAATCCCACCTGATCTCTTTCTTGAGCTCATCCTCCGCGCTCTGGTTTTCTCCGGGGTTGATTTTGGCCCTGAAGCGTCGATAGAGCAGATCCTCCCCGGCCCTCTGTTTCTGCAGGTCCTGTAGCCTCCTCACCTTCCCCGCCAGCTCTTGTAAAGAGAACTGGAGGGGCACCGTCCTCTTCTGTAGGCACACCGGAGCATCCACCGTCGGGGAGGATCTCGAAGAAGTGTCGGACTTGTGTTCAGCTGGGAAACGCGGCTTCTCTGTCCTGGCCCTCTTGGCATCTGGGCTCGCAGCACGGTCCTTATTGGAAGTGCACGGCTCGGTCTGTACCTCCGGGTGCTCAGGAGCAGTGTGACTAGTCTCCGGCGTTTCTTCCAACGCTTCTTTTTTTACGCCGTCAGTCGGTTCAGGGGAACAGACCTCCAGGCCGGAACACTGAATATCTGGTGTTGCCACCGTGGCGTCACGATCCGACAAGGCGCTGTCTTTTTCAGAGTCCGTACCGCTGCATGACATCCTTCCGTACCTGAACCCATCGAGCACCGACTCTCCCACAGGGGGGCGTTTAGCTAGATCGCCTACGGGTTTCAAAGGCGATGTTACAGGAGGTTTGACGGCGTCCTTAAAAAAAGACTGCAGTGTTTTCTGCGTTGGGCCACTGTTGGCAGCTTTTGCCACACTTGACTTGTCCCCAGAATTGGAGCTGTGATGACTTGAAAAAGCAGCTTTTAGGCCGGCCAACTTTGAGCTCCGAGATACTGGTTCCATGTCCTCTCCGGGTTCTGGCATGTTCTCATTAGACGGGACGACAGGACAGATTTCGGACGCAGACTTTGTGTCTAGAGACAAGTGACAGACAAACAGTCAAAGTAAAAGCACTGGAAAATCTCTCAATTATATTACTTTCAACATAAACATCTTTTATATGCAGGTTAAATGTCTGTTCTTACTGGTTCTGGGTATGAGTGTATAGTTCAGGCTGATCTTATTGACTCCAGCCTCATACATGTTGATGAGAGATGTCTTTAGAATCGCCAGCAAGAGTTTCTCCTCCTGAAGGAAGATCTGTCGTTTGTCCGGGGTTACGTTCACGTCCACACACTCTGAAACAACGTCACAGAAACGCTCAGGTGGGACAGAAAGCCAGCAGTAGGTTTCAGAAATAACTTTTCAGCGATTTTCTTACCAGAGGCAACAGCTATGTTCAAGGCGACAAATGGATATTGATGTCTGTTGTACATGTGGTACACTTCATTCACAAGTTTGGTCACCTGCAAATTGGGGAAAAAAGTTGTAATAATAGAGAACATGTCTTTGTAGGAGAGGTTATAATGTTTTGATCAATAAAAACTTAAAGTGGCCTTATATCTGCTCACAACTAGATAATAGTGTGTTCAAAACCATTTTAAATGTTGGTATGCTGCTTATAGATGATGAAATGTGGAGACTTAAACTTGAATTACCTTCAGAGGATCACAAGGCCGGTTGTTAATGAAAAAGAACTGCCTGTCAGTGGCACTTCTCCCAACACCGTGGTCTCCCCGTGACACGAACCCCGCCATGCTGCCAAAACAGAGTTCTCAATTAGAGAAACGGCCTTTTTTATTTGCAGAGAAGGGAAGAGAAAACTTACTGTACATGCAATGGTGTCACTCACCAAAAAAGCTGCTTCGGTAGATCTGCATCTTTGAGTCCATATTCTTCAATAACATTTTCTGCAGGAGACACTTGCTGAAAAGGTATAAGACTCTGCAGCTGCAGAACACACAAGAAAAAATGAAATATTGAGCCAATCAAATAAGGTTTGAAGAACTGAAGAACTACACTGTTCCTGTAAGGGATCGGGAAATTCTTCAACTCTTCGATTTTGGCGTTAATACCAGTTACACTCATTAAATAAACTCAACAATGAACATGAAGATAGAAGTTGTATTTAGTTCTAAGCAGCGTCTGAAAGAGCAGTAATGTGGTCAAACTGACGCGTTCTGCAGATTGCAAATAAACAGCGTAGTCAAGAAAAGTGTGAAACCGATGTTCCAACCTGTTTTGGTCCAAATATGGCCCCTATGTTGTCTCTCATACTCTGGCTGCCACTGGTGCTGAGGACTGTGCTGCGCTTTCCCTGCCCATTTTGGTTGGAGCAGGTAATGCGCACTCCTGTAGAGATGACACAGTAGGACTGCAGCACATGTATCATTTTGGCATACTCCTGAAAGAAAACAGAACAATGAAATATTGGGGATTATAGATGGATGACATAAGCAATTAATTAGCCACTGATTGGCTCTAAACTATTAAATTCAAAGATACAAAATGAAAAATGTTATATTGTGTTCTCTCGCTGTTTCTGTTTTTACAGTGTTACATTTCTGCAGACTATTTTCATGTGTAAATGTGTGTGATTTGTGGTCCCATAGGCTAAAGTATGCAAAAACATAGGAGTGATCCTTAAACGACTGACCTTCTTTATGTTGCGTTGGAACTCCTTGTGTCGAACAGCCAGGGTGTAGAAGAGCTGCTGCAGGCTGACTGTGGTGCCTTGCTGCCGGGGATGGGGAGACCGCTGCACTAGGTGGCCTTTGTGGTCAAACACCAGCTTGGTCCCCACCTGGCTGGACTCGTGGCATGTCACCACACTCAGGCCACTGAAGCAAGGGGGTCGGAGGGAATATTTAGATGACGAGGATGAACAGGTTGTACGTGCCAATAGAATGCGGGCGTTTAAGTGTTTTACCTCAGAGCACATAAAGAGCTGAGGGCCTCTCCTCTGAAGCCAAATGTCTCCACACGGATGAGATCAGAGAAATCCCTCAGCTTTGACGTGTGATGCTTCAATGCTGCGGAACAGGACGAGGTTTTTACTTAACCATAAAGATTAGGCAGACTTTAACTAACACGGACGGGATAAACAACACCGACACTTACTCAGTCCTTCAAAGTTGGCCTCTTCTACCCCTTTGCCATTGTCCGACACTTCCACTAGTTCAGCTCCACACTCTTTCAGCCTGACATCTGGGACATGCAACAGAAACATGATATTTTCTGATTCAATATCTCTTATTGTACTGGACTGTGAAAGATGGACACCATGTAATTTTGACACAGACAGCATTCACAAATGTAGCTTCCTGCTGAGTGATAGGTGGGCAATCGAAAGCTCCAGAACCACGTGTCAGCTTTTCAAAAGAGACAGATAAAAGACTGTACGATATGGCATGCATCAATCCTTACCAACGTTAGTAGCCCCTGCATCAATGCTGTTTTCCACCAGCTCTTTGACTGCAGTGGCCAAAGTCAGTACCACCTGTCCTGAGCAGATTTGATGCACTGAGTGCTTGTCAATGGCCTTGATGGCTCCTGCAGGTTCAGAGCTGCTGAGAAGAAACCCAGTGCTCAGTGACAATGATGCATAGCCTAGAGATGTATCCTGCTGCAACAGATTTATACATGAACTTCATTTATAACTTACCAAGTATCGGACATCTTCAAGGACTGAAAAGCTTCAGGAAGAATTCATTCAAATTATGAAATGTGACTTAATCTGAAACAGAGAAAGGGAAGAGACGCAAACTAAAATGTTAGCATTAACGCAAATGTAGCTGGTTTGTTTTCATTAACTGGTCAAATGTGTGCAAAAGCTTCACGACAGCAGATTGTAAACACAAGAGTAGTTGTACCGCGCGCACTGCACAGAGTGTCACGAGCGTCACTCGTGCGCAAAACTGCGCAGGTTGACTATTAAAACCAATAAGATAAAAAGGTTGAGTGTGTAAAACAGCAACTTCCCAAATATATGAATGATAACTGTATCAAAAATGATATATCTCTGTACATGAATACCTTTGATCAAAACCGTTGCCTCACACTTTGTAGGATTTCATCACCTAACCTAGCTCTAACCCACCGGAATCTGACCTAGCAAGATGTTAGGGAGCGTCTGCATTTACCTCATATTGCAAAAAACGAATAAATCACTTTATTGTTGCCGAAGTGTTCTCAGTAGTTTGAAGCTGTAGTATTCGAATTATAATAGAAAACACGTGTAATCATTTTGTACTGTAATTATGTGGTAACATTTTTTTCTATCCGTTAATATTTTTGTAAACCATGCATGTACATTGCCAGACGGTCCCTAAACTGTTAAATCATGGCCGTCTTTTGACAGAATAGTCCATATGGGATTTTGGAGAGATATATTTAAATGTCTCTATATTTAAACACCGGGGAAGGACCGAAGTAACGAGTCGTTTGGCGATACGAGGTGATTCGTGTGAATTCGGCAGCGTTTTAAAAAAAAAAAAAGAAGTACTTTATTTTGTCATGTCAACATTTTTCACATACAACAAATGTACAGTTCAACATCCAACACTCCTGAGGGCAGAGGGAAGTTCTGGAAGCGGCAGTGAGCATTGGGTCGTCCGCAACCTTAAACCCATCAGGAGACATGGGGCTGAGAGTGACGTTAGCCTCTTCAGTGCGGCTAGCGAAGAGGACGATGAAGTCCACTTTGACAGTAAGCAGCGTTTCCTCCTGTACTGTACTCCATGTTGCTGCCTGAGGCACCGAGTACTGGTCCGTATTGAGCTCGCTTCGGTGGCGGTTATAATAATAAAACGTCACGTCATTAATAGTTTAAGACTTTCGTGCTTTTATAAACAGGTAGGGGCGAAGTTGAGGCGTAATCTAGGCCACGTGACCAACTTGATTCAGATCCCCCTCGCTGTTTAATGCAGCCATGTTTTTAAACTGCATGTCCCCCCTCCACCGTTTATAATGTTTGGACCCTGGTGACATCATCCGGGTTACTCTCTCAGACTTTATAAAGCTCCCTCGGGTGCCACATAAGACTTTATACAGCTGTGTTCACAGGCCAAGTAGTACTCTCCATGACAAGTAAATGCACCTCTATGTATACATTTGGTGCAATTACTCTTTTCCCATAATGCTATACAAACTTGCAGTTGTCAAATAAGTGTGCGCGGGTCTCGTGAGGTCATTGTGTGTGAGATCAAGTCAAATCTTAAGTCGAGCCATGAATTTGTGCTTCAGAACAAGTCGGGACTTGCCCATCCACTCTTCCTGCTGTAAAGGGAAATGAGAGTAGAGACATGTTGGACAGATGAAACAGCTTTTCCTTCCCATTCTGGCACCGTGACCAAGTGTCCAAGTGTGTTTACAATCGGTGAGTGAGTACAGTAGGTGGAGGAGGCTTGGCGTCTGCTGGTAAAGGCAGATAAGCGTTACTGTTGTGCACGCCCCCTTATGTACAAACAAGACCAGGTCATTTCTTTATGCATTGGAGGTGAACAGGATAATCATTAGTACAGCTTTGAGTGCTTAATATTAGTTTTTATACAGAAAAATGGATCTAGGGGACAGAAACATTGTTGAAATGATAGCAAAAGTTATTGAAGAAGGTAAGACTACGGAGAGGAGATACTATGGTTATATGAGTGGAACATAATCTAAACTGTTGTTTACAGCTACAAGAAGAGAACCGAATATAGTATTATGTTGAAGCAGTTAATTCTTACTTCCTTATTTACCACCGCTTCCTCTTTCTCGCTTTTTTTTTTTCTTCAAAATGTTGTATGCTCAGCTTCCGACACAGATAATAACCGCGAGGTGCTGATGGCTGGTAAACATTACCCATCCATCCAAGAGTTTGCCTCAGCAATCCCCAACCACCTCCTCCTGGGGTCTCTGCTGGAGCACCTGTGCTTCGTCTACGAGACCAACCCGACACGCTCACGCACGCTGTTTAAAGGTACGTACCGAGATGTGGGGACCTGAAAATTGACAGTTAGATTAAAACTTGTATGTTTAAATCATTGTCCCTACATCAGGATCCCGACATTATTGCTGACTTATTCTAAATTTAGTTACAAACTACTTTTGTTGTTTTCTGCTGACAGTCATTGGCCAGCGTTTAGCTGCCATGAACCTCCTCTCACCTTTGGCCATAAGTGATGAGTTCAGCACCGTCAGACTGCAGCACAACCGGGCCTTCACTGAGCTGCTTAATGCTGCCAGCTCCTCCCTGTATCCACAGGTAACTGGACCACTAGGGGCCTTTGTTGGCAGTTTAGGACTAGGACTATTATGTAAAGTGTTTATTTGTACTTGGTATAAATATTAGGCCAACTGTACAGTCTGGTGTGGCTAGTGTGTTTATGCTCATCTCATTTTTCAGGGCCAGCAAGGTGATGGCACAAACGCGCACAAGCCTGCTGTAAGGTAGGCGATGCTTTGAGTTGCTTCTATGGAATATTAACATGTTATTAAGTATTGTGTAAGAGATGTTTGTTTTTTGCCTTCCCGCAGACCAAAGGAGGGACTGTTTCAAGCACAGACGTCCCGGTATCTTAGTGAATTTGAAGAAATATTTCGACTCGGAAAAGGATCTTATGGAAATGTTTTTAAGGTATTCCACTGTGTTCTACTCCATGCTAAAGAAGAACATCAATTCTTCAGTTTATCAACAAAATCATTTTTTTTTTTATCTCTTCATCTTGAAGGTTATGAACAAATTGGATGGACAGTATTATGCCGTGAAGAAAATTCTCATCAGAAAAGTCTCAAAGGATGACTGCATGAAGGTAGGCCATCAGTGTTTTATCAATACAGCCCGTATATCTCCATATTCAGAGATATAATGTAGTAATAATATGATTATTTTTGTTTTGCTCCAGGTCCTCAGGGAAGTCAAAGTGTTATCCAGCCTGCTGAATGTAAACGTTGTGGGCTATCACACTGCGTGGATGGAGCACGTTCAGCCTGCGGCATGTGAGTACTTCTGTTGTGTGACAAGTTTCTTGGAATGAGATAAGTGTCCTTACTATTCACTGAGTTTAGAGAACAATAACACTGACTGTTTTTATCACAAGAGAGACTTTATGTGAAAACATCTCTGTTGCAGATCCTGAGTCTCTCCTGCCTGCACTGGAGTCATGTGAACAAGACAGGTAGGATCCATTTACTGTTTTCTGTCATTGTATAACCCGATTGATTGAGAGATAATCGGCATAGAAAGTGACGGTGGAGTTAATCGCAGCCTATTTTTCCTCGTTGGAATAATTACTGACTTTGATTCTATACAGAAATAACATGAAATTAGATTTTCTTTGTTTGTTTTGTTTTGTATGCCAGTGTAGCAGGTGAGTAAAATAAATATTTCAAACAGTATTTACAGTATTTATCTCAGGGCATGTAGATGCGATAATAGTCATTAAATTGTCCAACAACACTGAATCGATCTCGGCTCCTTCAATCGCAGTTCCGATGAGAGCTCTGACAACATCAGCAGCAACTCCTCGATCGTTTTTCAAAGCCTCAGTCGAGCACCAACAGACTCGAGTGCCAGCGCACTCCCGAGAGCGGCCGAGCCCGTCGAAGCTTTGGTTCCGACCCCAGAGAAGGGCCAGGTGGTGTGTGCCAAGACGATGCGCCGGATTCCCAAGAACTACGTCCCCTGTGTGTTCCTGGGACAGGGGGGTCCCCCGAAGACCTCCAAATGTCCCGCCATGGGCTGGGACAGCTCGGCACTGTTAGAGGAGGAGTCCAGCAGGAGTAGCATCGAACTGAACAACAACTCCTGCATCGACAAGGAATTTCAGCAGTGGGCTGGCAAAAACCGCACAACAAAGCCTTCTAAAGAGGTAGGCACTTAGAGAGGCTTTCAGTGATCAGACGAACAAATAACGATCGCCATGTTTTATTGCATAAGTTAAACGTGTGATTTGTTTTTTTTTACTTTATTAAAACGTATGGTTGCTCTGTATCTGCAGGTACAGTTCCACCTGATGCTCTACATCCAGATGCAGCTGTGTGAGCGCTCACTGAAGGACTGGATCTCTGAGAGGAACACCAAGCCCAAAGAAGAGCAAACCCCAAAATGTAATTGTTTAAAACACACATGACTTCACAAAATGACGTTGTTCCAGTAGAAATTACAGATGAAATTACATCAAAAACCTGATATACTTTTGTTTTTTTTCAGGTCCTTATGGATGTGTTGACACCGAACACACACTCAGCCTGCTGAGAGGGATTCTTAAAGGAGTGGAGTACATTCACTCCAGGGGAATGATGCACAGAGACCTGAAGGTAAGGTGCTTCCATGGATTTCGTTTGATCACCATGTGTTATGTCTGTAGCTTAATGCTAACTTTTGCAGTCGCTTATAGTTTGCATTGACACACCGGTGTCAACTAACGTCAAATAAGTCATTCAAATGGTCTTGGTCATGAAAGGAAATGTTTTGTTCCCAGTAGTTGAACACGAAGTCATAGAGCTTATCAGGCAGAAGTTTTCTCAACTCGTCGCCCTTGCCCTGGACGTATTTTAGATAGATGTCACTCCTGCAGATGTCCCGAAGCCTCCTCGGCTGCTGAGTGAGTTTTAGAAGCTGGTCTCTCTGTTTAAAGAAACATGGTTGCGTCAAAGTAGAGGGCAGGTGGCCGCTCTGGTCGTAGACGGTGAGCGGGGAGGTCAGACTGAGGAGTTTCCCCAGCAGAGAGCTGTTCCTTACATTAGTCCTGTGGTTCAGGAACAGGAACAGACAGCTCTCCCCCGCTTTGCTCAGACTTTTGATGTTGGCTCCATACCTGAGCAGCACGTCCACCAGCTCTGTGTTGCCCATGCTGCACGCCTCCTGCACAGGCGTCATCCCCTTTAAAATAGTCAAGAATGAATGGAATTTATTGTAGTACAGATGTAGAACCTAAAGCATATATTTCAACAGGCTTAAAAACACAGATTTATATGCAGAGATAGACAACAATACCAACCATGTCCACGTCCGCTCCCTCCTTATCAAGCTAGCCATGATGTCCTTATGGAGGATCCCAGCAGCCATATGCAGGGGCGTCATCCCACTGCTGTCCGCAGCATTAGCATCAGCACCGAAGCGGGCCAGAATTGGGACAGCAGACAGAGCCGTGTAGCGTACTGATAGGTGGAGAGCCGTCTGGTGACTCCCCTCAACCTAGAGAGCAACCACAATAAATAAAAACCATAGAAATAGGGCATTTACAAAAAGATATATTTACATTCTTGAGGATCTTTTTGTCATGATTTAATTCAAACATTACAAATGACTCCTACTCTGCCTGTTTCATTTTACAGATAGGAGCTTCATTTAGTACAAAGAGAAGCTTTTTTTACATTAATAACTTTTTACCTTTGCATTGATGTTAATGCTGTGCTCCACGAGGAGCCCTAGACAGGCCTCTGCCTGTCTGCGTACGCCACTCACAGCAATCTGGAACTTGGAGCTTGGTTTAGTAGTCAGGATGCTCGGCCAACCGGCTATCACCAAGTGCAGAGGGGTTCGACCAAGCTGGTCCCTGTGACAGAGGCAGAGACGGTGAAACTGGTGGGACCAGTGACATGTGTGCCATTGTGTCATCACTTTACACACGTTCATTTGTTTTTATTCTATCAGAGGCCTATACCACAGGAAGTACAACCTCATGTACGACGGTAGTATATATCGGCGGGATGTCTGTGTTCTTGTCCGGGTGTGTGTTAGTCCTGACCTCATGTCAGGGTCCGCCCCTGTTGACAGCAAACTCTGCATGCTCTTCACTCTTCTGTAAGAGGCAGCCAGATGAAGGGGAGGTGTAGCAAGGCCCTGAGACAGGACAAGACAAGACGAGACATGACCAACTAGAAAAGTAGAAAATACAAATATGTTGCAGGCTACTACTGAATGAATGTTCTCTTTTTTACTTTTAATTTCACAAATATAATCATCACACCTGAGCGTAAAACACTTGACAATTGATAGTATTTACTGAGCTGTCTATATGCATCATCAATTGTATACAACTTTGTGATATTGTTATACTGTATATTAGATGCTGTTTTCACACTTACATTTAACACAATTCTCACAAGTAACATTGTTGCATTTATTTTCCACAAAACTTATCCGGGTGCCCCGCGTATAAGAAAGTTGCTCCCATACTTTTTTGACACGTCTTCTATACGTCCCAAGTCTTCCTCCATAATTGCAGTATAATATTCATTGTTGGGAAACTTGACAGTTACTGCTCCTGTCCCCCTCATGTCCCTTGCTCTCCTCCAACATGACCAGGCATAGCAGCTTCACTGCTGTCTGTGTCAAGTCTTTCAGGAAGTGAGCGGTGGTTGAAAGCTGGTTATTCTAGTTCATCACAGGATTTCACCACATCCGTGTGAGAGTTTGATGTCTTCCTGTCACATCTGATAACTTTGTGTTGTGTGCAGGGCCAATGATGGGGACCGGTGACACCCTTCTGGCTAATTTATAGGGTTTTTTTTCACTCTTGTGGCACTTCAGTATTTTACTTTGAGGAACGCAAATGCTACCTTACAAAAGCTTCAAATGCAGCGATTAAAGTTCAGTATTTGAGTTGCCTGTGTGATATAAAGCAGCTACATGTTTCAGAATCATATCTCCTTTATTCACTTTCAAAAACCTTGGAAATCAGTATCTTTACACTCACTGACATATAACATAAAACTAATTGTAATGTGTTTGTTTTTCCCCCATAGCCCAGGAACATTTTCCTCCATGGTAACGACTGCCATGTTCGAATTGGGGACTTTGGTTTGGCCTGCAGGGATATAATAATGGATGGCCATAAAGGCACCGCACCTCCCAGCAGTGGTAATACTGCACCTCTTAGCTCGTTTCACTTTCACGATAGTACCTCACGGATTCACCAGTAGATGGCACCATGTGCTTTAAAGTCACATCTCTGGTGTATTTTGCAGAATCCTCACACACTACAGGTGTTGGCACATTTGTGTATGCTGCTCCAGAGCAACTGAAGGGCTCCCATTATGATTCAAAGGTAAACATATTAACAGTACGACAACTAAATTAATATAAATTCACACTTCATTAAACATGACACATATTTCCGTGCTATACTTTCATCATTTATCAACTTTATTTGTGACGTTGTTGCTCTCCCAGTCAGACATGTACAGCATCGGAGTGCTGGCTCTCGAGCTATTCCAGCCCTTTGGGACCGAGATGGAACGGGCCCGGACCCTTGGGGACCTGAGAGAGGGGAAAATCCCAGACCCGTTCTGCCAGAGATGGCCGGTCCTGACGAAGTTCATTAGGAACCTGACGAATAAGGAGCCCAGTGTTCGTCCCACAGCCAGCCAGCTTCTACAGAGTGAACTCTTCTGCAATAAAGACATAGTATGTTGGCCTGAATGGATACATATTAGCCCCCTGATGACTTTTGTGCCATTAAAAAAAAAAAAAACTTTATGAATAGTTATTTTAGATTACTGATCTAAAATCTGTGTGTAGCTGTGTGGAAATGAATGTCAGTTATTCATGTTATTCTGTATGTGTAGCTTTGCTCACCAGAGAGTGCTCTCTGTTGGCTCCAACAAGGCTTATAACACATTTGAAGTGTTATTAACAGTTCCTGATCATTTTAACCCTTTTTTCTTTTCTTTTTCCTCTCCAGGTGATCCATAGTTTACAGAGACGGGTTGAAGAGCAGGAGGGAGAGATCATGCAGCTGAGGAGACAGATCAGCCGGCTTCAGAGCTCAGAAGTCGTAGTTAATTTGTCTGAGTCCGACAACGCCTAAGCCTAAAGGGTCTCAGCCATCCACAGATAGTCACAACTTGATTTATTCAACCACTGCTGTACTATGTTTCGGTAACTTTGTACAAGTGGTAGAGCGTGTGTGTGTGTGTGTGTGTTTGAATGTGTCTTGTACATCGGGATGTAAGGGTGCAATTATTTATCTTCATTCAGCTGTTTAATAAAACCTACTTTCATATCCGCATCACTCCCAAATCCTAATTCTTAAAGGGGCCGCACACAATGGATGGAGAATGGACCTGACAGTGTCAACTTTTGAGTTGTTTACTTGTTTTATTATGAGCAGAAGGTAATAAGATTTTGATCAACATTTACATCTATTTTGTTGTCAGGTGTAGGTTTTACATACCAGTGATATTTTATGCTCATTTGGACACTATCACTGAGATAAAGATGAACTAATTCAGTGTCAAATATACCATTCAATGGAAAAAAAAAAACATTTCAAGTACATCTTAATTATCGAATGATAAATATTGTATGATAGGCTGAAATGGAAGGAATCTTCTTATATCCATCTGGTCAATGAATTGGATGATATACCGGTACAATAGCGTTATGAGGGACACTATGACATTTAGTTTTCACGAGCATTAACTGATTATAAACAACAACATTCTATAGGGACTGATATTATTGTTTGGAAATACTATAGAGATATAATAATGCAAAGAATAGAGCGATGTCGATAGTTATTTCTTGTATTTCGAATTCGCTTGTTCACACTCTTGCTCACTGGAGACAGTTTCTAACAAAATAGCTAGCTAGCTAGCTAGCTTAGTGTTAACATAGCCCACTACAATATTCCCTATCATTTGCCTCAAGTAAACCTAAATTTAAGCAGGTAACAATCTTAACAACTACAGATAGCCACATTCTGAAACTACCTGTACTTACAAGTTCACTCCGTGCATCATTTGCTTTGAGCTAAACTCCTTGGCTATAATCCTGGCTGTCGTTGACGAGAGACATTACTTGGCAGAGTGAGAAAGCCAGCGCAGCAGCCTCCCCAAGGTCCTAGTGCCCGGGGTTTATATCGTCCAGTATGATGATAGGCTATTGGATTGTAATTTGAAGGGGGAGAAAACATACAAACCAGAACGCACGCACATATGTAGCATGTTAGAGTTATAAATAACTTGTCCATGTGAGAAACAATAGTTTAATTTAATGACGTCACCAAAATATTATTATTATTTTTTGTTTTTTTAAAGCCAATAATGCCAAATTATTTGGGGGGGCTGAAGAACATGTTAGGGGGGCTTCACCCTGCCTAACGGTGATGAGATGATTAGAGACCGGATCGTTTTCGGTATATCACAATGTGTATTATGATATTGCGCTTCTTGATCCTTCCATATTTGATTTTATGGGGATAAGGGCACGTTTATTTTCATGCATGGATCAAACATATGTCTTTGTTCTCTCACCTGTACATGTGGTTGATGGTAGTTGTAAAGTTAAATTACTGGTCACAGGGAATGCACTCTGTTTTATTTTCAGAACTTTTAAAAGTGGAAATACTGTGGGTACTGTGTAATCTATTTTTAAAAGAGTATTTCAGCATAAATATAACAATCTGTGCTTTCAAGTTGGTCTGCTTAAAGCCAAGTAATGATTCTGAAACCACTTATCGTGTATATATGGGTGTAAAGTACACACTGTTGGTTGTACATTATGTACACAAAGGTCAGAGAAGTGTTCATGCGACGGATCTTCCCGAAACACGTTCCGCTGAGAGAAACGGCCGTGTGAACCAATCAGAGACCTCGTTTCATCGAAGGTACCCGGATGTACCCGTGGGGCAATTAGCTACGTCATTGTTCACCGCCGGACACCCGCTGGAAATAAGGAATGGATTTACTACCGATATTAACGTATTCATAACAGATTCCAGGTGAGTGTGTTGTTGATTTTACGACCGAGTGTCACTTGAACTGTACAGCAGTACTATTTTAGTGGTCCCGAGCCGCTGAGAGTCGTTGCAGTAGCCTTACACCGGTTCTCTGTCATGTCGGAGAGAGCAGCGCAGTGAGCACACACAGCCGCCGGTGTCGAGCCCCTCCTTTCTCGGCTAGATAAACGTTCCGTTACCCGTGCCCACGCATTATTTAATGAATTTATTTCGAAGTGGAAACACAAAACTCCACTTTGACGTTCATAGTATATGGTTTCGTTATTCTCCGCCATGTCAGTCAGCCTCCATCGTGCCGAGCTAGCCTTAGCTAGCACCACTAGCATCAATATTTGCCGAACGAGCGCCACCACGGCACGTAGCTCGCGCCGTTCGGTAGCTAACACTAATGTGTTACGTTCGTCGTTTCCATGGTGTTCGTGACTTCTGGAGTCACTCGCTCTTCATCGGTCACTCTATTCGTGGCATCGACGAGAAAGGCGAGCTTTTAATCGGTGCACCGTCTCCCAGACGGGCTAACGGAGGTTTAATGGGTGTTTTGGTGAGGTTTAGCGACGCTGCGTGTGAAAGGCCTAGCAGCCGTCTGTTAGCCAACGTGAGCCAGTGTGTCGGAGCAGGTGGGAGGGAACAGCTGTTGTTGTAAACGTGCTTCCGACTAGGACACATCCTCTGTCGGGGGTCTGAACTAACGTTAGTAACGTGCACTTGGTAACTTTAGCAGAAGTTGCTCCATTTGAACATAATAAAAACAGAAGTAAATATCTGCCCAGTGTTTTCTGACGTTTGTTAAAAATTAAACATTTCAACGTCCCTATAATGTGCTATCACCAAGGGCCAACATCAAGCCTTTATGGCATCTTGTGTGTGTAATTTCCTCATGATATCCAGTGTTAGATCTAATATTCAGGGCTGAGACATTTAACGCTAGTTATTTCAGACTGCCCCCACTGAGTTTGGTTACTTAATGTATAAAACAATCTGCTATTCAGTAGCTGGCACGTTAGTGTACTCTCGCAGTGTATGATATCACTGAGAGTGTTGATAACAAAACTGTCTCCTTCAATACAATAATATCATCAGACTTAATATTACATTATGACTGTCAAAAGGGGATAGTACTAGATTGGTGTGAAGTTGGCTAATTCAAATATTGCAATGTATTTATTTGACTGCACCTTTTGAGTGATTTGTGATAAATAGTAATATTATGGCTATTGCATTGATTGGTTGTAATCTAATTGTACTGAAATGTTATCCAAATGAGTTGTGAGACACACATACACATGTAAAGCCACATTAGAAATTAAAAACACAGCACCTTGAATTTAATCTGTATTTTCAGCAGTTGTATACTTCTGTGTTTCTGCCCCTCGTACAGCAATGAACAATGACCATAGTTGACAGATCTTCAGAAAAGTCTGACCACGAGTCAGTCGGGTGTAAGCGATCTCCCTTCACCAGTGGAGACGTGGGGATGGACGGTAGCTGCTCCAGCAGCTGGGCCATGGGTCCCACCATGCCCAGCGACTCTCCGAGGCTGAAGGCTGCAGGAGGCTGCCTGGGTCCAACGCCTGGAGCTGCAGTCTACAACAGCACACCCTCCTCTGGGGACCGGCCCAAGGAGCAAGGTAGGAACGAGGGCCAAGCTGCACTAATGAAGCTACGCTATGTGTTACTGTGAGAGTGTGCCTCAACTGGTTTTGTGGGTGTTGCTGCTTCATGATGCTTCATGGTGGTTTGATATAAAGAGTACCACCTGACTAGTTTAGCAGAAACAAAAGAGAAACTCTTTCTTGTCTTTCCTCCTTTAGTTTGTGTTACAGTTGTACTCGTTAGTCAGGATCAAATGATATAACTCCTAATACTGATATCTATGGCTGTAAGGTCCGAAGCTTCCTTTTGTCATTATGTACTTACAGAGAGTACGTAGCATATATACAGATACTTGTTTGTGGCCTGGACCTGGTAAATTCATTGAATTCAACTTTAGTAATACTGTTGGCTCTGTGTGTACAGTGATGAGCAGTGGTGATGGCATTGACTCGCCCCAGAAGGTCCTCTTTCCTCCAGAGCGGCTCAACCTAAAGTGGACACAGGTTCACCGCATTGGCGCGGGCCTGCAGAACATGGGGAACACCTGCTTTCTCAACTCGGCCCTGCAGTGTCTCACCTACACCCCTCCGTTCGCCAACTATTTGCTGACACGGGAGCACTCCAAAACATGTAAGTTATTGTTTCACGATGCTTCTTTGAACCAAGGAGGTTCTTGTGTACGTGTACAACCATGCAGTCATTATCACATCACTATTGTATCTATGAGCAGCCTTCTTGTCTGATTCATGTCTTACTCATCAATGTTTTGTCCTTCTTGTCGCTGCTGCAGGTCACGAGCCGGGGTTCTGTATGATGTGCACCATGCAAAACCACATCATTCAGGTCTTTGCAAACTCTGGAAATGTCATCAAGCCCATTGGTGTGCTCAATGAGCTCAAAAGTAAGTGGTTGTCTGTTGAGTAAAACACTGAAGTTGTGCCCTTTTGATAAAATGTTTAGCTGAAATGAATGACAGGAGGCGCTGTTTACCTTTTTCATTTTGGAGGGAAATTTCTCGTGGGGGTTTATAGTGTGCTGTTAAAATACTTTTGAACTTACCACCCATGTGCTAGTGTGATATCCTATAACAGCTTCTTACATATCTGACTGTTTTGTGTTTTTCCCCTCTCAGGGATTGCTAAGCACTTCCGCTATGGAAGCCAGGAGGATGCCCATGAGTTCCTGCGGTACACAGTGGATGCTATGCAAAAGTCCTGCTTAACTGGAACCAAGTAAGTTTCATACATTTCCAAAACTATACACAGCTTAGGATAATTCATTTTTTAATATCTATATAGGCCAAACAGGAAGGGAAGTATTACTGTATTCTGTGTATTCTGTGTTGTGCTGATATATTGAATATTCTGCCCAGGCCATTGCCAAGTATGTTATGTACACATACGAAGCTTACATGCATGTTTAATAGATACCCTGGGCTGGCCAGTGTGGCTCTCAGGGGACCGAGAGTGATCTTGGGCACCTCAAGTATCAAGTCATTTGTTATTCTGTAATAACAGGTGGCCTCTCATCTAATTAATCTTGCTCTAATTCTTCCCTTTCTCGCTCCTGCTCTTTTGACTGCAATATGTTGCGACTTGACAGTGCAGATTACTGTAAAGTGACGTTTCTTCTCTGCTCCAGTACAACCTGAAAATATTTTTGTTTGTTTGTTGGATTAATAAGGCAACCAGTCGGTTATGTCTTTACCCTTGTTGGTTGTTTTTCATCCTCCATATTTCTCTTTGTGACAGATTGGACAGGCAAACGCAGGCAACCACTTTCATCCATCAAGTATTTGGCGGGCACCTACGATCCAGAGGTACGTTAGAAGTGTTGATTTAGTTTTCTTGTTTTGTTTTACAGCTTTCCTGGACTAATAAATAAACTCTGTCTTTTCTTTTTCAGTTAAATGTTTAAACTGCAAAGCCGTCTCGGATACATTTGACCCTTTTCTAGATATAACTCTGGAAATTAAGGTAAAGAAAAACTCTGATATGCCTCTGTTTTGCAGGTTACTGCATCACGATTAGTCCTGTCACGATAACTACTTTAGTCAGATGTATATTGTCCCAGGAATTATTGCTAAAAACAACATTGATGTCATTTTAAGACAATTTTATGTGACTGAAAAAATGATAATATAATAGCATAATAGTGCAAGTACACCGTTTTTAAAGAGTATTTTGACATTAGAATTGGAATGTGAAAAAATATTCTAACTAAATAAAAGAAATAAGGAATATAACTACACAGTCAAAGCAATACATGAAATGGACTCTTGGGCAAACAGGCAATGGCGAGGTCAGCAAAAATGATCGAGGTCATGTCCATACAACATATGATGATGTAATTATCGTGACAGGCGTAGCAATAAACCAATTGATTCAGTTATTTTTGCAACGATCATAACAACAATACCAAAACCCATTTTTCTCTCCATGCAGACAGCTCCCAGTATCTCCAAGGCTCTGGAGCAGTTTGTCAAGCCAGAACAGCTTGATGGAGAAAATGCCTACAAATGCACCAAGTGAGTTGTTTTACAGACGAAACCATGACGAGAAAGAGTCTGGGTTTTATTTGCTTATCTATATGCGTTTGACAGCGAACTGACTGAGCATTACTTTCCCTCAGGTGCAAAAAAATGGTCACGGCCTCAAAGAGATTTACAATCCACCGCAGTTCAAATGTGCTCACCCTGTCACTCAAACGCTTCGCAAACTTCAGTGGAGGCAAAATCGCAAAGGTAACCATGACATCTGTGCACTATAATATCAAGAATATGATATATTATGAATAATTGATGTTAATCAGCTGTTGTTTGGTCATCAGGATGTGAAATATCCAGAGTACCTGGACCTGCGGCCCTTCATGTCTCAGTCTCAAGGGGAGGCCCAGGTCTACGGGCTGTATGCGGTGCTGGTCCACTCTGGATTCAGCTGTCATGCTGGGCACTACTTCTGCTATATTAAGGTACTGGCACTGCTATGGACCTCTGTCTCAATCTACCAGGTACACATGCACACATTTGTCTCTCCAGCAGTCTATCAACAACTCCTTAATGAAGAGTTCCTACGACAGCTCTTAGCAGTCTGAAGTCTTGACTTTGATAAGTCTTTCCCCAGGTCTAGTCTTGTGTGCATACAAGTATAAACACAATATAGTTCTTCTATTAAGATATCATTATATTTGTTCCTGACAGTCAAAAATTCTCAACTTTTATTATATTTAACACTTAAAAAAAAAGAAGAGAACTTTAAATGGAAGATGTGTAACAGAGATGATTCTGTTTAGCAGTGTTAAATGTTAAAGCCTGCCAACTCCTGTTGTTTCCCAGGCGAGCAATGGGCAGTGGTATCAGACGAACGACTCCTCTGTGTCCGTCAGTGACATCAGGTCTGTCCTCAACCAACAGGCCTATGTCCTTTTCTACATCAAGTGAGTAAACCGTCATTTTTAAAGAGATTAAGAGATTAAAAAGTCTGAAAACCTTTAACATGAACCCTCCCACGCATTTCAAATGTGTCATGTTGCTAATGTCTCTTTCATTTGTGTCCCTAGGTCCAGTGATGTGAAGAAAGCAGGGGACTACAGCCACATGAGCCATAACCCAGGCATCCCGGGTCAGTCATCTCCACGACCGGTGGTGATTCCACGCATCAACACCACCGTCCACCACAACAACAACAACATTGGCTTCATAGGTCCACAGCTGCCTCCACACATGACCAAGGTACTGCAGACTTGCTGTCATTTAAATACTGGTTATCATATTTGAATGTTAATTCATTTAAGATATACATCCAATGTTTTAGACGCTCAAAACATGTCCTTGTGTGCTTTTTGTTTCCTCCTCAGCGCAATCTCCACGTTAATGGGAATGGATCTCTAAGGGACTATCCCACCAACTCCAAGCCCAGCACCAGCAGCAGTGTTGTGGGAAAACCTAGCCATGGACTGGCCTCTTCCTCCTCTTCCATCTCCCACTCAATCAGCAGGCCCACTATGATCCCAGACCACGACAAGCGCCAGAAGCTTTCCTTCTTCATTGGACAGGGCAAACATAACCGCCCGTCCTCCTCCTCGTCCTCTTACAGCCAGCCGTCCTCTGCCAGCAGCAGCTGCTCCTCCTCCTCCTCCAGCTCTAGCTCTTTATCCTCCTCACAGTCTACCTCAGACGTTCGCTTTGTTCCACGTCAGCTTAACCACGGTAACGGCATGTCTTGCAATAATGGGGATCACCACACGGGAGGGAACGGAGCGTCGTTCTTGGTGCCGTACGGCCAAGAGTCGTCAGAGGAATCGGACCAGGAGAACTGTGGCACTTTGGAGAAGGCCGGTTTGGCCAACTGTCACCTTAACGGAAACAAGAGAACGGGAGACGTCTTTGAACATTCCACTCAAACCACCAACGGACAGTCGGGAGTGCACCACAAGGGCAACGGATTAAATATACCAACCAATGGTGTCTCTGGATCCAGTCAAAATGGGCACCATTATGAACACCACAAAGTGAACGGACACAGCACCCCTGATAAAGTAAATGATACGCTTTGTGTTTTTGCTATCGCTTCATAGTGTATTAATAACCTCATGAACAGAAGTTTTATGTCTTATTTGCTATATTATAAATGAATCGTGGCTTGTTTTTGCTCCTAAGGTCCCTGGCAGTAATCATGGAAGTTCATCCTCTGTGACTACTGTTGCTGCTAATGGACTAGACAGTGGCCATAGTCAAACAGGGTAAGATCACATCTTCACGGTATAGACAGACATTGAACCCCAAAAGTATAATACAAAGCAATATTTCAATGCTTCATGTTTAGTTTTGTTTGTTTCTACAGCAAAGAGGCACAACATTCTGCCTCATGCCAGGCCAGTTCTTCTCAGAGCATCCATCCTGCTGCCAGTGAAAGCCAGCACCTCTCCACTCCTGACATGAGGGCTACAAATGTGTCTGAACCCCTCCCTCAGCATACAGCATCCTCCGCTGTTAGCTCTCCACCCTCGGCTACTGCAACAAGCACCCATTCTGTCTCATCTAAAGAATCGGCTTCCTCTTCTGCTCTTCATTGCAACCCTACGGCCTTATCCATCCCGCCAGACTGCTCCCAGAAAACCAATGGGGCCACTGCAGCTCCGCAGAAAGTTAGCAGAGGTGGGGAGGAGGCAGGAGATCTACCACAGACCAGTGATCTGTCAGCAGGAACTGAAGGACGCACAGATTCAAAGGAGCAACACCAGTCCAAGCCCAGTTCTAGGGGCAATGAAGTACCAACTTACCGGGACAGGGAGAGAGACAGACTGTACTCTGACTGGGGCAGAGACAGAGAGAGACACTACAGGGACAGGAGCCAGGAGCGAGAAAGTGTCGGCGATCGGCATCGTTACAGACGGGACTCCAGAGATCCCCAACACCATCAGCGCCCGTACAAGGATCGCAGTCCCCCTCACAATCGTTCCTCCAGGGACTGGGAGTCGGAGCATCGCTGTGAGCGGACCCTCCACCACCCAAGGGAGCGTGATCGTGACAGGTGCTCGAACCATTACCACCACTATCACAACCGCCGCTACAGAGAGGACTCGGACCGCGAGCGGAGGGGACAAGGTTATCCCTACAGCGAAAAGTCTCACAGTCGAGGGAGGTGGCAGCCAGACAGTCGAGAATCACGGGTGATAAGGGACAAGAGCAATGGCAGGGAGAGGGACTATTGTCCGTCAAAAGAAGAGAATTCCTCGCCCGCCACAGAGCCAGAAACAAAGTCCAAAGGCTCGCCGCCTCAGGCTCGGCTCTCCACGTTTGAATCGGCTCTAAACCGGGAGGATCAGAATCACAAAAGGATGGCTGATCCTCTGAGCAAGGAGAGGGACGACAGCTCTGAGGCCCGGCGCTCGAGAAAACACAAAAAGAGCAAGAAAAAGAAGAAGTCAAAGGATAAAGACAGGCACCGTGAGAGCGGGTGAGTAACGCCATCTTTGCCTCCATGCTTCATGGCACATGTCAAATTTGTTTTGGATAGTTGTGTTTGCCATTTTGTACAACCATTCAAATTAGAAGAACACCATCAACCATTTAGTTAAGAAAACAAGACATTTGAAGGCATCAGCCTGGGCCCTGTGAGGTTGCAATCAGCATCTTTTCTTTATATTTTGTTATTCTATAGGTTTAAACGATAATGCAAATAGCCTTGAGCTGTAGCTCTACATGTTTTTGTCTTTAGCTGTTGACAAAGCCCGACAGTTTTGGATTTAGTCGAGAATTGGGAATAATCGTGGTGTGTTTTCTGTCTTCCCCTAGAAGCTCCGAGGTGGATTCAGACAGAGCCGCTGAAACAAAGAAGAAGAAGAAGAAGAAAAAGAAGAGGCCGCGGGACAGCGAGCAGCACAGCCCAGAAGCAGCTCGGAACCACAAGAGTAGAAGCAGCGAGGAGGAGGAGAGCCGCAAGCGACGATACGACGACGTCAAGGAGGCTAAACAGGACCAGGCTTTTTTGCCAGAAAAACGCAGGTGCACGGACTACAATGATGGCATCAGTGAACATCTACTCTCCTCCAACCACGCATCACCCACAAACGGTTCAAGTCACCACCATCTCAACGGATACAAAGGTATTGAAGGTTTTTCTCTTGCAAAGTCGTCCTCAAAAATAACCAACATGCGGTAATGATGCTGCTGTGGAGCTTGTCGATTTTAAAAGTGTTGATCCTGTTTTGCAGGAAATGGTTACAGCCAAACCAATGGCGACTGCCACGCATTCTCCAGTGGCTTGAAACACTGACTCTGTGAGTGGGCGCCCTTTCAATGATTATCACAGTTTGCTCCGGCACAATCAGTGCTGATAAACAGTAGGAACTCTCATCACAGGTGCAAATATTTCAGCTCCTCGCTATGCAAACCGATTGTATGGAGGCCTCTTCTTTCTCATTTCAGACACATCGACACCATTTTAACAACAGCAGAGGAATGACATCAACGACTTTTTTTCTTTTTGACGTGGCGCTTCTTCGTTGGGAGCATATTGTATTTTTACCACAACGGAAGTGTTTTAAACTGGTCAGAAATCTTTTTTTTAAGGCAGATAGATTCATCTGCCGTAATTCTCCGAACTATTGAAAAACAAAAAACTGTCACCCGATAAACATTTAAGATGAAAAATATTAATATATACTTATATGAACACAAACAAAGCCTGGAGCTTAAACATGTCAACTGCTGCTCAGTGGAACTCAGGACTTGAAAACTTGTTAACATCCATCGTGGGTATCCGCCGGCATCAAACACGAATGGAACTAAGGGGAAACCGTGAGGCAGCGTGCTCCCCACTGGGAGCGGACAGACTAACGGAGGGCGATGTTAACGAATGAGACGGAGGAGTGACTGATACCTCCACATTAACCCTGGACAGAACTTGAGGACATTTCCCAGCTTTTTGTTTTTAATTTGGTTTCCATTGTTGCTCTGAAGCCTAAGATTCACCCTGTCATTTTTTAAAACTTTTTCACAGATACAGAGGGCCTTTTTTCTTCTGGATCATGCCTCTCTCTCATTCTCTTTATTTTATTTTTAAACATTTAAAACAAACAAAAAAAAAAAAGCATCAAATATCTGTTATTACAGCTGTGGACCATTTGAGTTTGCTTTTTAATGAAAAATACAGTTTGTGTCTTCTAGCGTCATAAAAATACTGTGAATTTAATTTTGAACTGTACTATCAGTTATTTTTATACGTAAAAATCCTGTATCAGGGTTATCAGTAGATGTTTTGTTGCTTCGTTTTTTTTCAACTTTAGACAGAAGTTGAAAAACTTCTGTTATTCCTTTTTAGTTTAGCATGTCAGAATTTATACATTGTATAAGGTCAAAGCCTTAAAATACATTTGTTCATGTCAGAAATTGTAATTTGTTGGTCTTTGACTTTGTTTACACGCTGCGTTGAAATGAATGAAACATGCTGATTGAGATGACTCACCAGTTGTCAGAGATTTTTGAAAAGCTCCGGTCTGCCTTTTGTATGATATGTTAGGAATAGACCGATTGTATCCGAGCTTCTTGTACATCAAACTTTCCACGGTAGTTAAATTATGATGTAGATACATTGAGTGTGGATTGAAGCCGATGGCACTCTTCTGTATTCACACACGCACACTCATTTCTAGCTATTGGCAAGATGGCTCAGCTGGCTCTGTTTTCTTCACGACACTGTTTCCATGTTTGGAATAACCAAAGACCTGGTATGTTGAGGGAGTCAAGCTCTTTTTACTGAATTCACACGCACACAATGACTCGTTTTCTGATCAGCACGTCATTTTATTCAAAGTTTTCATCAAAGTATTCAGGAGCAGTTTTCCCAAACTAATATCAAGTCATGTTTAACTCTCACAACTCCATCTGCTGAATGACAGATTAGGCTGCCTTGTTCTTGATCTGTGTTTGGGGGGGAAAGCAGTCCTCAGATTCCAGTCAGCATTCACAAGTATCCAGTATCTCCTTTGTTTAGACTTTTCACGGGTGTTTTTGCACCCGCCTATGTTCTACACTCTCTTGTCCAACTCAGCATCGTGACTTTTTACTTCATAAAACATGTATTATCTGATCCTCAGTAATAACCGTGTGAGGAGGGTTCACTGCTCTGCAAAAAAAAAGCTGCACGCCGTCCCTCTTTCACTATTGTAATCTGTAAAGCTGTTAAACTAAAAAGTTGAACGGGTATAGGCTACGGCCATTATGATGTCCATGCTACATAAACACAACAAAGAAAAAGGGAAGAAAGAAACCCAGTATGTACAATATCTTCTATACATGCATAATGTAAGTTGGGGGCTGCCTCTTTTGTTAAACAAACTAAGAAAATAAATACAAAAGAAATTAACTTGAACACAGAGGTGGATCTTCAATACATAAAATGACCGTTGACAGGATGTACATAGCTTTTTAAAACTAGTCACATAAAAGGTCCAATACACTCAATATATGTGACGTATTCCTCAGCCTGCATCAAATGCTTCAAAGAGGAAACAAGGGCGCGTTCTGTAAATGAAGTTGCTAGCTTGTAGACTAAATCTGTGTTTGCATATACAGTCACTTGAGTTCACAATCAGACCAGCTGATCTATAAGATTGAGGCTTTCTGTAGTTACAGAATACTACAAAAACATTGTTGTTGGCAGTTGTCAGAAGGACATTTCAGCTGAAGATAAAACGTAGACTGGCATCTGGGAGTCTTGTTGGCAGACAGCAGGCGGGCGGGTCCGGATGAAAGGGGAGGAGGACTGTTCAGGATTCAGGTCCTCCCGTAGATTTAATTCCTTGTATGTCCAGCAGAGGGCAGTCTCGTCACAGCCACACTATGCAAAGATTTCCCATGATTCCAGTCATTGGCTTTAGTCCTCATTTGTTTTCATCTGGCTTAGTAAAAGTTTTGCACGCAGTCTCACCCAAAACGACCATCAGGGTCTGTGTCGGATGAAGAAACCAAGAGCCGAGGTGCAGACGTTCTTCAGGTGGAAATGAGCTAGAAAAACTCCAACCTATGTCTGCTGCTCGTCCTCCAGACCTGAAAGAACAAACGAGAGGGCTTCATGCCCCCCGCCTGTGACCAAACGCACACATACACCCGCGAGCACTCTGCTGGTCACAGACACGGTGGCGATGCAGGTGTGGTTGAAGGCGGGCGCTCATCATTTCTTATTGGCTATCCTCCGCTTCCTGGTGGCCAGCATGTCGTAGAAAGGATCCTTGCTGATGCTTGCTCTGCAAAAAGAGAGAGAGAGAGGAAAGAACGGATCACTGATCCACTGTTTCACACTGTGAAATCTGTTTCTATAGAGCGGAGTAAAACACTGTTACACATGATGAAGTCGGGATGTTATGAACATTTGAGGAGTATTCTGGGATGAGGTCCAGTAGTTTCTCATTGTACTAACTTGTCCTTGATCTGTTTTGTATCCATCAGTCACTGCATCTTAACCAAAGCACATCCCGTCTAGTGTTTGTATTTCTTTCTGGTGAATCTAGAGAGAAACCTGTTCGCTTTAATTCTGAGTGATCAACAGCAAACCTTCACATGTACAGTGATACAGTTACACCTCACGCTCTTCCATCAAACTCATCTTGCTATATATCTATATCTATATATATATCTATATCTATATATATATATCTATCTATATATATATATCTATATATCTATATCTATATATATCTATATATATATCTATCTATCTATATCTATATCTATATATATATCTATCTATATCTATATCTATATCTATATCTATATATCTATATCTATCTATATATATCTATATCTATATATATATATCTATATCTATATATCTATATATCTATATCTATCTATATATCTATATCTATCTATCTATCTATATCTATCTATCTATCTATATCTATCTATATATCTATATATCTATATCTATCTATATATCTATCTATCTATCTATCTATCTATCTATCTATCTATATATATATATCTATATATATATATCTATATATATATCTATATATATATAT